GTGTTTACCGCATTTGGTTCTTTCCATTTTGTCGGTAATTTTGATTACTATGCGACTGACACCACCTCCTTGTCAGCTACCATATGCAGAAAAGAAAGTATTCTGACTCTGTTTCATTAATTGCATACTGATGTATTAATATCCGATCTATCAAAAACATTCATTCATTTCCTGAACACCACAAAGCGTATAATCATTGATTAAACTTACATGATGAAAACATGATGAAATTTTTAATATGTAATTAACTTTTACAGAGAAGCAGATATGGACGTCGCGTTGATTGTTGTAATAGCATTCTGCTTACTGCTGTTGCCAACAGCAATTTTCCTCATCTGCCGATTACATCTAAAGATGAAGAAGAAAACGCATAAGTAGGTGCACTTATTGTTGTTTATAGAGGGAAACTAGTTAAACTTATGTTATTTCAACTCAGAACAATAATTATATTGCTGCACTAAACCTCTGAAACATCAAACAATTCACAAATTTATTTTTAAAAAGCATTATCTCAGTTCTCAAGATTTAAAGTTCAAATATCTTTTAAACAGAAATCTTCAGACAAGTTTAAATAATTATAATTTGATTGAAGAACAGTAAATTAAAGGGCTATCATATTCCTTATGGAATTTTCCGCCCCAGCAAGAACAAGTATCCGTTCCCAACGTCAATATACTTAATCCATTTGATCATTGGCAGTAATTCTACGAATAATGTCCCTTGCTAACTTTGCTCTGGGCTGTCAATATGGCGAACCACACAAATTCTTTTATGTTCTAAGTTCTAGGAAAGCTTCTCGAGTGTCCGTCGTGTCGATTGCTCCAGTTTCGAAAAAGAAGCCCTCCATCACTCTCCCTCCAATCAGTGAGTTCCTTCTACTTTGTTCATTAAAGCAAGGTATACTGATCCTCACCACAAATCTGCTCTAACAATTTTAGAATCCATTTTCTGGCTGGGAAATTTTTCCAGATACTGAAGAAAAGCTATTTCATAACTTGTTTAACTCTTCCAGGACATGTTCCACCTAAC